GGGCAGAGAAAAAAACTGAAATTGTATCTATTACCTTCGAGAAATGTTCAGAATTTTCAAACTGTTTCTGAACTTGTTTGGGGGCAGTACCTTTGTACCAATGTCAGAAGGATTAAATTCAGTTGAAATTTTAACCAAGTTAATCAAACCTTTTTCAACCATATTTTGGACGAAATGAAATTTAATGTCAGCATGCTTAGTCCTATCATGATATACATGATTTTATGCTCAAATGAATTCCACTTTGGTTATCTGTATAAATTCTAATAACTTTATTTATAAAATCAATTTCACTTAACAAGCTCCTTAACCATAATCCTTCTTTAACAGCATCACATGCTGCAATATACTCAGCTTCTGTAGAAGATAAAGCTACAAGTTTTTGTAATTAAGACTTTCAACTAATACAGTCATCACAAAGAGTAAGCACATAAGAAGAAATTGATCTTCTTTTATTTAAATCATCTGCAAAATCAGAATCTGTATAACCCTTTAAAATAATACCTTCATTACATCTTTAAAATTTTAATCCCAGTTCAGTCAAGCTCTTTAACTACCTAATCATCTATTCTATTGCTAACCAATGAGTTTCACCTAGATTAGCCATAAATCTATTAAGAATACTTATTCCATGAGCTAAATCAGGTCTAGTACATATCATAAGGTACATAATTGAACTAATGGCATTAGCATAAGGTATTTTACTCATTCTATCATACTCTTCATCAGTTTTTTGGATTGTTCTAGAAAGCTTGAAATGATTTGCTATAGGTAAAGTCACAGGTTTATAGTGAGTTATAGCAAAATTTCCAAGTATTTTATTTGTATAAGAATTTTGATTCATATACAAAATACAGTTCTTTCTAACTTTTTTAATCTCCATGCCTAAAATTCTTTTTGCTTGTCCTAAATCTTTTATTTCAAATTCAGTTTTGAGTTTTTCTTTAATAGATTCAATTTCAAATCCATCATGACAAGCAATAAGCATATCATCAACATATAATAAGAGATAGAGAGAGTCAGATCCTCCAGGCCCTTTGAAGAAAAAAAAATCAAAATTACTCTTAAGAAATCCCAGGTTTTGAACATAAAAGTAAAATTTCTCATACCATTGCCTGGGTGCCTATTTTCAATCCAAAGAGTAACTTTTTTAACAAACAAACCTGGTCAGTTTTATGTTCATTTCAAACCCCTTTAGCTTATTCATATAAATGGTTTCGTCCAGGTCACCATTTAAGAATGCAGTTTTAACATCAAACTGATCCAATTCCCAGTTGAAGTGTGCTGTGAAAGCCAACAAAATTCTGATCGAGGTGTATTTAGCAACAGGTGAAAATATTTCATTATAGTCAATACCCTCTCTTTGTGTTAAGCCTTTTGCCACAAGTATGACCTTATACCTTATACCCCCCCAAAAAAGGTTCACCTTCTTTGATTTTGTAAACCCATTTACAGTCAACAACTTTTTGATGTTTAGATCTATTAACAAGGATCCAAATTTTATTCTTTATTAAAGAATCCATCTCTTCTTGTATGGCTTCTATCCAAAATTTTGATTCTTTACAATTTACTGCATCTTCAAAGGTTGTAGGTTCGAAGTTAACATATTCAAGCTCAGTATAGAAAGTCAGAAATTCATCTGTTTTGATTCTGGTAAGTGGAACCTATTTCTTCTACCTCCGTCTCTGATATAATTGTCAAGAACAGTTTCT